AGTTTCACTTAACAAGAGTGTAGATAGGAATACAAGTGTTAGTTATCAGAGAAGCCATCAGTTTGTTGACAGGTGAAGTGGAATATTTGAGAGTTGCACCATTTTAACTGTAACTGGTCTGCCTTCTCAGTTCGCTGTGAATCGGAATGAAAAGACTGAACTATTCCCAATTCGTTTTAATGAGACTTTCTCAGGACATGCCAATCGCACGTTCTCCCCTAAATCAGGATCTAAAAAACGACGACCAGTTTCTCTTCGTTACATATCTCAGAAGATGTATAGACGATCACGGCCCGATCCACAAAAATTAAATGATGGAAAACCTTTTGCTCTGTATCCCATCACGTTTCGCTCAACAGTATCTCCAATCTATGAAATGATGACCAATGAAATTTGCTTTCAAGGATAAACTATTGTAACTTTTCTCTAAATAGAAACTAGTAAGTCCAGACCAGAATCCGTAAATATAAGAAATGAAGCTACTAAAATTGCTGTAAAAATAAAAATATTTCCTAAAATAATAGATTATAAACCAAACCTGCCGTTTAAGACTGGGCCAAAATTTCTTCAAGCTTGACTTACAGTTCAAGACTTTCATGTTTTAAAAAGTATTTCAGAAGAGAGGTTTAATTTAAAACAAAAAATATCGAACGTTTCAATTCCTAGTAAAGCATTCAATTAACATCCTCGTATTTCCTTTAACAAGATACTCCCAATCACAACAATACTTAGAGGGATCTGCGGCACGCCTACCACAATATTCACATCGTTTAACATTTAACTACCATAATCACGTTGTTGCCTGAAAATCAAAATCGTTGGAGTAATACTGGTAACCTGAGTAATCATGTAATTACGTCGGTTCTGGGATGCGTATAACGCGTCAAACAGTAACAATGCGGCAGTAGGGTTTCATGCACTTAAACCTGTGAAATGTATACCTTTAATGTTATCTTCAAACAGGATCGTTAGTGATGTAATGAAAAGCACATTACAAGGTCTAACGAGGACTGTGGTAGAATCATGTTTTCTCGCAAAGGAAAATAAGTTTTACCATTGAATCAGGGAATTAGAAAATTTGTGAAACTAAGTATAAAGAGACATAACCTATGTTTGAATATGTGCGGTGCATGTAATAGTTACAGCCCGGAAGTTCAGGCATTTATTTTACTTAATATAGGAAAGGCATTTATTCTAGTTAAATTAGGTGAGCATGTAAACAACGAAAAATCACATTAAAAAAATTATTGTAAAAATTAATAATTACAATGATTCACATTTTTATTCTAACTTAAAAATTTGCATTAACATTTAACGTGTAAGAAAGCAATATTTTCTCTGTAATCTTCATTCCATATGGCAATCCGGTGTGATGGCTACGAATTTGTTTTACTCGCAACCTTGTTTCTTCGAAATTCTATTGTGGATTCCTTTTACTTTCTCGCTAATACCTATGCTAGAAGTGAACGTAATGTAATCGTGGGCAGGGTAGTGTTTAGTAGGGTGTAGTTTATTATTTTTGACATATTAACACTATTTTATCTCATTGAAAAAAATGAAAAATAAGAAAATAATTCACACTATCAGAAAAATATTTTTTGATATTTTCCCAGCGCCAAATTCAAACACAAATTTTTTTTTGAAAAAAATAGAAAATATTTTATTGTGTCCTAAAACCCTGGATCAGTCTCGAAAAATCTCAGATGTTCCTCTCCAAACACAAATTGTTGTGGATTTATTCAGATTTTTTCGACTGCTGGGCTGCAGCTAAAAAATTTAAAACTATTTTTACCATTTTCCCACCTTTAAATCATTTTGTCTTATAATTTGAAAATGTCAGCAGTTCTGTGAATTTATTTTAGAGTTTATTATACATTTGAATACATTGTTGTTGCACCCAGTAATATTTCGACTTTCAAATGTGTAACAAATGATCATGTTTTCAAAGCTTTCTAATCCTGTGTATATCATACGTTAAAGTAAGACGATAGTTTTTGGCAGTTAATGAGAAAACATTTGGCCACAGGAGAAGGATAAGTGGAGAACGTGGGGAAATGTAGGGGAACTGGATAGTCCCATGGGGACATGACTTTTTTAAGTGCAGGTAAATTATGACAGAAGACGTGTTCTGGGGGACACTGGTGCCTTCTGGTGAAGAATAGATGGGGGACAGCGAGGAAGTTAAAAGAGGCAGGTTGGACCCGGATTATGTTCTTAGGCAATATTCAAAGAAATATGACTTTTTGGATCGTTCTTTTGTAATTTGCAGATGTAGTTCTCTTGGATGCCCCACTCTATAGCGAACAGAAAAGAGATTAAGCCACATTTGCTACAACAATGTATACAAATGTAGAATAAACTCTAAAATAAATTCACAGAACTGCTGACATTTTAAAATTATAAGATAAATGCACAGAAAAATAAATGCACAGAATGGTTGCAGACTTTTTAAAGTATATTTAAAGTCATGGTGTTATTAAGACGAAAAAATGTTTAAAATTTTTTTTAAACTGCAGCTCGGCAGTTGAAAATGCTTGAAATAAATCCACAACAATTTCTGTTTTGAGAGGAGCTAAAGAGATTTTTTAAGTACTTGTTCCAGAGTTTTAAGGCAATTAACATTATTTTTTGTTGTTGTTCTTCAAAATTATTTTTTGCGTTTAAATTTGGCGCTGAGAAAATATTTAAAATTATTTTTCTGGTAGTACAAATTAATTCCTTATTTTTCATATTATTTTAATCAGCTAAAATAAAGTTGACGAACAATAAAAGGAACACTTTTTTGTTGTAGAGAGGTGTGGGTAGCAGACTGGGGGATAAGAAACGAAACCTAGTGGTGCTACAGAATAGCACAGGCTTTCCCGTATTAGTTTTCTATTTAATTTGGTCTCGGATAGCTATACGAACTTGCCACTTACTCTTGCCAGCTGCCATCTATCGCCGACCAAAGTACTTTTTTTGAATTTTTCCTATTTTTTCGGATTCCCTATAGTAGAGCGGAAACATTTTAAGAAAATTAAAAACAGTAAAAATATCGCCCAAAAGGCAACTTTCTCTGGAAAATTTGGAGCATTTTCTGGAGCATTGCGCTAAAACGCTATTGTAAATTTGAAATTTGACGCTCATTTTCACAGAAAATTTTTGAGTTTTCTAAAAACTTCGTTATAAGTCATTTGAAGCACTTTAACTCGCGAATACAATAGTATTTACAAATTGCTAGAAATTAGCATCTTAACGGCGTGAAAGATATTTCACAAAAATTATATTACTGTAATGTTTGAAAAAAACAACAACAAAAAACAACATATATAGATGTTGATAAAAGGCAAAAATAAGACAAAATAGCACACGTTTGCTATCAGACGGAAAAAGAAAATTACTAAAACAACCTCAGAATTGCAATTAAGTGATTCGTATTAACAAAATACATCAATAACAAGTAACAATAACACTATGCCAAACTCCAGGGGCCTTGTTAGAATAATGACCGAAGAACATATGCCGTTTTGATTCTATTGAAAATAGGATCTGCATCAACCCAAGAAGTCAAAATGATGGCAGTCTGCATTTCATTTCAGTGGAAATGTAGTTCGTAATTTCGTTTTTGTGAATAACAATATTCGGGCCCAATGTACATCTGCTACAGCATAATCTCCTTGAGGAAGAGGATGTTCATGAAACGGAATAGTTCGCAGACTTTGCAGATCCGACGGAGCTAGAAGACGCTCCCGGGAGCCGGGCTGCTGCGAGGAGGCATCTACCAGAAACTTCTACTACCCTCAGTACCATAAGCCAAGGACCTCCAGATCAGAGACACTGCAATTACATCAAATGATGCTCTGAGCTACCTAAGACCCGCTGAATGGAGTAATGGATCGTTTATTATAAGCGGGACGAAGTTTTAGTATGTTTTATATGTATGTTGGTGGGGGGTGTGCGTGTTGGTTGGTTGGTTGTTAGTGATTCCGGGCGCATCAACTACCGAAGTCATTAGTCCCGTAGGTGTAGTTCATGTTTTTCTTGGGAGGTGGTGATCATCCCCCGCTGGATGGCGAGATCCGGCGCCGACTTACCGTCGGTTAGTGGGGATCACCCAACCTGGTATCTCCTACCAGCGGGGCACTGCCCCAGCCGGGACAAGCTCCCGACAGGTCACCCGGTATGTGTGGTAGCGTGACAATAGGACAAGGAAGAGGAAGGAAAGATCGTGCGCGGTCCGTGGTTCGTTTTTTTAGTACTGCTGCGGCATTCCCCTTGTGTTTATCGGAGAAACCACGGAAAACTACCGATCCGAGCAGCCGGTCTCTAAATTCTCCTCCAGTTTTAACTTAACAGTGAGTTAAAACTTCGAATATCACTCAAAGATGAAGAGAGAGCTCTGACCCTCCAACTGCGGCATGTTGCCGTTGGGCACGCCGCTACAACGCTCCAGGCTGGAATGAGTCGTAAATAAATGGAAGAAGAGGGCCTATTTGATAGCGATATCGTCATAATTAACAGCATAGCGTAATTTTTGATGTTATTAGCTTAGTTTAGGAAACGAAATAGCATTTCATATTCGTAACATGAAGCACTGTTTGACAGATGGTCAATTACACTCAAATGCCTGATTGAAAAAGTACACAAGACCATTTGAATACTTATTCCAAGAATCACTAAACACGAAAGAACAGGAAGATCCGCAAGAAATATTACGATTTTGAGTTCAAAAATCTGAATTTTCTTTCGAGTAAACGATCTTAATAAATGTGGAAATATGTTACAATACAAAAGCAAAGGAATGTGATAATCACTTCCGGATGAACAGTTATCAAATACTAATAAACAGCGCAACAAGAGAAAAGATTTCAAACAGCCTGACAAGGCAGCCGCGCAAGTGTTTTCAATACACCTCCACTAGCAGCAACCGAGGAGTTAATTGGAGCTGTATGAAGGCAGGTTTCGCTTTGCAGTGGCGGGTCGCGGGCGCGTTGCGAGTGCGGGGGGAGCACGCCGCAAACCGCCCGACGCCCGACGGGGCGCCGCGACGCCTGGCGCCGGCGCCGCGCTCGCCCGTTCATTGATCACACTGCGTCGCTGGGGCCGGGAGCGGGGACGCCGGATAGCGGGCGAGACGCGGCGGGGCGGGGCGGGGCGGGGCGGGGCGGAAAAGCGGGGCGCCGTGGTGTCGCGGGCGTGGGCTCCCAGTGCGGCGGCGAGCGGCGCTGCACGGGGGCTCCGCAGTCGCAGTCTCTTTGACCGCTGGAGGGGTCGCGGTGACAATAGCACGCGGCGACGCAGTGACGACGCCTCCTCCAAAGCGCAGCCCTTCGGGATGCCGGGGCAGAGGATAGGAAACGGGAAGGACGCGGATAAGACGCGGATAATAGTGCTGTTCACGGTCTCAGGAACTCTTGCGGCGACGGTTCCTTTTCCTTCACAGATGAAAGAATAAAAGGAGACCGCGTGGTTCATGAAAGAAAGAAAAATACCTTCAATGATGGTCGGGGATGACATAGGGAGTGCAATAAACCGAACACCCCGATCGAATAGTAAAAGTTAATGACACGGACACGGAGCATAGGAGCACGAAAAATTATTTAATAATTTTCACAAATCAAACTACCGTTCACAGCATGTGGTATTTATATTTACTGAATAAGTGGCAGAGAAGATTTAACACAAAATACTACAAAACACAATAAATGTATTAAACATTTAAAAAACAAGTACTTCGCAATTATTTTCTAGCACGATATTCGGGTGAAATGTAGCAATGATGTAACAGTTCAACTTGAACATTTTGTTGGCATGATTTTCACTTTTCATCTCTTCAGCCTTCAGATTTGGAGAGACCTGCAGGAATTCACCGTAAAGACATTTTTATGGCTCTTTAAGTGAAAATTTTAACAACTGTGCTAAATATGCGATTATGTCATTCTATTTACAGATGTCTTTTCATTAAGATGTAACGGGGTCTAAAATGTTCTTAAGGTTAGACCAATTCCTTTTTTCTTAAAACAAAATAGATGTAAGAGAAACGACAAATATGAAATTTTCATTCATATTGTAAATTAGAGAGAAAAATATTTAAGGCTTTTGTTGTTTCTTCCAATTGATTCTAAAAATAGTGAAGCAGTAAATTTTCGAGAATAGAATAGAAGAATGATCAATAATCAACCAACCGTCTTAGAATTTTCATATCAAATAGAAATGGAAGAGGAGACGTTAAAAGTCCACCAATTTAATACCTTGAAAAATAAAATTCTTAGGAGTATGATAGTAGTCGAATGTTCGATTATTGAATGATTAACAATTGGTTTTCGTACGAATAATGACGTTCTAACTTCCGATCTCTTTTTACTTTCTGGCCCTTAAGAAGGTCTTTCTTAAGATGAGAAAGTTATGTAATCGTGCACCGGCAAAGGGCGATATTTCGGCAGAAAACTTTTTTAACGTCACAAACGGATGTAATGTTCCTTTAGTAGAACCATGTTTCGGTAGAAGTTTTCATATTGATAAGGGCAAGCCTTTTTCGTAAATGCCACTCAGTTGCATGTTTTGGAGAGGGGTTTCTCCCTAATGGAGGTAGGATAAATCAGTAAAATGCGCGTGTTTCGTCAACGGAAATGGTGCGCATGAAAAGTGTTTGAGCTCCTGATTTTTAGAAAATGCATCATCAAAAGTTTTCATGGAGGTGTTCGATAAACAATAAAAGGCTTTTCTCCGCATTGTGCAATTGAGTACTGATGGATGATTTGCTCAAACAGGAACGAAAGTGCTCCGCAAGCCGATTCTCATCCGCCTGTGAAGTGCAAAGACAAGAGAATGTGACAGTGTGCCCAACATTGCCATGTAGGACTGTCGAGTCACGTTACGGTGCGTGATAGAATTGGTAATGTCGCATGAATGCGTGTGCGCCATTGTCTGAATTAACTGTAGGAAAACATTGGAAAGAAACGTTCTGAAAAGTCGCATTGCCGAACCGTTCTTTTGCGCAGTAATGAGCCTTGACACGCCGCTCTGAGCAATGAATAGACAATTAATCCAGAACAGTTAGCAAAATCGGCTTATTTGTAAAGCATCACATGATCAGTCTTGTCAAATATAACAGCACCACTATGATAAAACCCTAAAAGGAAGTTTTTTCGAGAACCGATGTTGCACGTCATAGTATATTACAATGAAAGAAATTTGTATAATATTGACTGATTTCCAGACATTGCTATGAGCACTATTTTCCAGAACAAGGTTGCATAGTTTGCTACGTACAAGACAATGGGTGGTGTGAATAAAAACGTAATATTTACCTTAAGTCTAAAGAAAGCAGTAAAAGCATGTACTACCAACCAAAAGCATTTACTTCATTTGGCGTGAAAAACTCTATAGTTTGCAACTTGTGAAGGCTGGAATAGGAACTTCATACTCAGGGTTGAGTTTCCACAACCCTGCACGTGTTGTGAATACCTGAGTGCGACGCAGTTCCCTTTCCCGCCTTCATACTCCCGCGATTTATTTTATACTGAATTGCAATGTTGAAACTTTTAACGATCCACATTATTATAAAAACAAATTATAAACATATATTACGAATAAATATGATTGTTTCATTTCTTCTCTTCATTGTTCATGATTGTTTTGACATTTACTCCGTGTCCTTACGAAATGAAATCAATTTCTGGCAAAGAGTTTGATGTTTATCGCGAGTGCAGTAATTTCATGGCACTTCTAAACTCAAGAACACAACCGCAATTCTTATTATGATCACACGATTATTTTGTTCTAATGCGCATATTCATGTGTGAATATACAATTTCTGTTGTTCCGAACTCAACCGAACTCGCTGATCTTGACAGCAAAAACTCATTTAAGAGTGGTCACCTCAGTGCTTAAATAATTCGTAATATTTACCTCAGAAATGGTGTTAGAGCTCAATTTTATTCACACAATTGCAATGAAATTCTGAAAAAAAGTTCTTACTAAGCGATGAAGTATTTACTTACAAGTAAAATTAGTACTCAAGTTTTAGTCACCGAATCATAAGTATTTACCTCAAAAGTATCTAGTATTAGCATATACATACTTTTATTAACGTTTCCCAATCTCAACATAAAGTGTAAGCCAAGTCCTGAGAGTGAAACCAGAACCTGAGACGGGAAGAGAGGGACCTGAGATGGAACCCTGAAACGGGAAGAAAGGTCAGGGAGAGTTCTTACCCGTATAGTACTTTGCTATCAACTCTTACCAGTTGAGTGCGAGAGCGGAATGAAATATTCTTCCATGGTTGTGACATTTTCATTTGTAAAACGTTTTAAAATCTATTTCTTACTAAATAGTTCAATTTCTTTTCTAAGTCATGGACTGTCATTGTCCTTATTCTTTTCCACCCACATGGACCAAACAAATATATGTCGAGCAGACCCGTCAGAGAATTGTTGTTGACAGATTTGAAGTAATTAAAGTTAGATTAGTTAGAAGTAAAGTGATGTTCACAAGACTGGGTGTACGCGCTTCCTCTTTAGGAACGATTGCCGCATTTCGGCGAACGCGCGCATTCGCAGAGTCGCTTCTGAGCTACCAGCACCTATAGTGCGCGTTTACGAAAACATCAATCTTTCGTGCCAAGGAGTTGTGCTAATAGGCACGAAGGTGCTTTTTCGTTTTTGGACTGTTGGAGCTGCAGGGCCGGTGTTATCATTCTGCAGATGATCTAAATCCCTACGCACGTCGAATATGATTCTCCAACGTTTATGTGAATTGAGAATTTAACATGTGTTCCTTCTTAATAGAAAACGAGATGCAAAATTGATTTTGTCGGTCTGTTAAGAAATAAAAAAAGTTGCTGCGAAGAAGGCATTGATTTTTAATTGAACTCCGTATATGATGTAGAATCGCGAATCATCAAAGGATTTTCTCCTCTCTTATCTCCATGTTAAGCATTAACTAAATTACAATGTACTGGGAATCGTCAACGAACTCAGTATGTTATTATTCTTTCTATTACAATCAAATCAGCTGTTAATACAATATAAAAGCAAAATTTGTAGATCTTAAGAATTCGTCTGGTATTACTTCTACTGAGCGCTTAAAACAAACAATGATCCGCTACAGTTTTTATGTGGAATGCCACATTTTGCAAAATGCCTTGGAGTAAATTTTACAAACGTTAAGGGTATGTGGGGAAGTCCAAGATGACCATTTTTTGGCTTTGAATCCCTGGTGGGAAATTTCGACTGACGAAGTTTCAGGCATGAAATTTACCGTTACGTGGGTGGTAGGCAACGCATCTTGTTAGGGGAGGATAAAACATATCTTTGTCGAACACGACAATAAACGAATACGATAAGGCCACGATAAGTGACCTGCCAATCAACAGAAATGTATCTTCTGCTGGAGAATTATCTACTACAGTCTGATTTTAGAAAAAAATTATGAATTTGTGTTGTAATTCTTCTTCCAATTTTCAACTTCTGTCGTATGTGCATTTAAAAAAATTTAGTCGGTTTATGTAACTAAATTTAACGACACAATGAGACAACATATGAATTGGTAAAGTACAGTACGCAAATTAAAACATGTTTTTAGAATAGACGGGTCGGATATAAGGAAAACGATAGAGAATAATAAAAAATATGGCGCATTAACACAGGAGAATGATGTTCTTTCTGAAAGACAATTAAGGTAAAAACACATTAACGAAATGTACGAAATTCAGCCTCATAGTACAAAAATGCCATTCAAGAAAACAGAAATTTTACGACCCAGAATTCAGGCAAGCGAAGATATCAAAGGATCAAAAGAAAAATTTATGATTGACAGCCACCTGAAAAGTAGGTAGTTTTGAGACCTAAAGCAGTATCAGATCTGTATACAAAATAAAGTACAGTGAGTGACTCAATGAAATAGTACTACTGTATGAAAAAGTATTGGAATTGGACATAAAATTTCAAAGTTATCTACATTTAATAGTATAGTATATGATACCAGAATAAGGTGAGTTAAGAAACGCTATACGCAAATTAATAGGAAACATTCAGAACAACCCGGGATGAGCTTCCCTGGATGATTTTCGTACTTGAAATCCAAATCGTTACGTGTACTTGAAACGTTATCGAAGGAGTGAGAATGCAAAAAAATACCAAATGGTCACGGGGAGAGCTTCTGTGAACGTATTTTTATTTGGTTGTTTGGTTAATCATTTTTGTAGTGGGATGGTAGCCCAGTAGATGCGTTGGTAGTTGGTAGATGCGTTTGTTGTATTCAAGAGTAATCTACTCACCCGGCAATCGTTCTTATGGTTCTGAGTAAAAGTTAGGTGATCTAAATATGATAGCAGTAATAAAGGCGAAATAATGAAACGTGAAGAGAGTAAAATAAAATTACAGAATGCATGAATTTTCGTAATAACAGTCTGTTTAATAACCCGAGAGTTTAG